ATTTTCTAGCTTCAGAACTGCTTTATTTTCTAGCTTCAGAACTGCTTTATTTTCTAGCTTCAGAACTGCTTTATTTTAACAAATGCAACTGAAAAAAATCAAATCTTCAGACAGAAAAACTTAAATATCTAATTCATTCATAATCTGATAAACTGTATATGGGTACCCCAGTGTAAATAGGTTTACATTAAAAATTTCTTTTCAGCCCCCTTGTAAAATGGCTTATTAGATTTAATTAAGAATTCACTGTTATTAGGAATTTTTATGAATTGTATGAGGCCCGCATGAAGATGAGAATCTTGATTAATATTTAATATTTTAATAATGATTTTTGTGTAAGCAAGGTTGCTTTGAAGCCTGGTTTCTATTGTATTGAAACTGTTATTAGGTTTGGGTAAGAATGGCCAACTATGGTCACTCGGCTGGAACACTGGGAAATTAAAACAAACCTCAACCTTTAACCTTGCACCGTAAACTTTTACAAATACTGTGCAATGTACATAAAGAATATTAAACTAGTTTATACATCTGTAAACAAATATTGTACAATGTACATAAAGGATATTAAACTAGTACAGCTGTAAACAAATACATAAAGAATATTAAACTAGCTTATACAGCTATAAATAAATACTGTACAGTGTACATAAAGAATATTAAATTAGTTTATACCGCTGTAAACAAATACTGTACAGTGTACATAAAGAATATTAAACTAGCTTATACCGCTATAAACAAATACTGTACAATGTACATAAAGAATATTAAACTAGTTTATACAGCAGTAAACAAATATTGTACAGTGACATGAAGATTATTAAGCTGGTTTACAGCTGTGAAAAAAAATATTGTACAGTGTACATAAAGAATATTAAACTAGTTTATACCGCTGTAAACAAATACTGTACAGTGTAAATAAAGAATATTAAACTAGTTTATACCGCTATAGTCAAATATTGTACAGTGTACATAAAGAATATTAAACTAGTTTATACCGCTTTAAACAAATACTGGACAGTGTACATAAAGAACATTAAACTAGTGTTTACTGCTTTAAACAAAAACTAGTTTACAGAGTACAGGATGAGTTAAAAAAAAACTTTTTTTAAGTTTAGACTAAGGTTTTAAGCAAGACATTTGTATAGATTTTATATCCTAACAAAAATGATGGTTTAGGTGCAGTGATCTACAGTACACGAAAAAATAGTGGGTTTTTATTTAGGCGTTTCATGCTCACGTTCCTACTACAATTGTTTAAAGCTCAAAATGCCTTTACTTCAATTGTTTAAAGCTCAAAATGCCTTTACTTCAATTGTTTAAAGCTCAAAATGCCTTTACTTCAACTGTTTAAAGCTCAAAATGCCTTTACTTCTGTTTAAAGCTCAAAATGCCTTTACTTCAATTGTTTAAAGCTCAAAATGCTTTTAATTCAATTGTTTAAAGCTAAAAATGCCTTTACAATGTTATTTTCGAAAAACGTATTTCTAGCAATTGTTCCTGCAAAGTTATTTTTATGATTTTTGATATATCTGACTAGATACAATACACGAAGAGGGATTTATTCCCGATATTGTCCAACTTGTTTTTTTTATTTCCTGTTGGAACAAAGTTGTTCTTCTTGTTGTAGTTTATCCATCTGGAAACCAGAGACACCTATAGATATATATAAAAAATATATAAAAATATATAGAAATATATCTGAGAAAAATTCATCAACAACGTTTTAGAATTTATTGTACCGTATCTATATATGAAGCTCTCCGCTCAGAAATCTTTATATCTATATATATAAAGTTGTAATCTCTGTTTCTATGTCTGTTTGTTTGTCCGATCATAACTTAGGAACCAACTTGCTGGACCAAGTTTTGATTGGGGAACTTGGGAGACCCATGGGAATGTTCTTAGCTTTAGTTTTAAGATTCTAAGTTTCCGGGATAAACGGCGGGAGTAACTTTTTAGTAACCTGGGTATCGCCGGGAACTATTTACGAGTTGTTTTTAATATTGCATTATACATATAAAATCTATCCATTTACGTCATGTAAGTTTATGCACGTGTATCTGTACATCAAATATCATAAAAGGTTTTAAATTAATTAAACGATGTACATCAATTGAATTTAACATAAATAAAAAAACGTATGTATTGTGGACGGACAGACAGAAACTTAAAAAGATAGCTAGTGAAATCAAATTCTCTTCATCAAACATTTATTATAGTAAAGGAAGAGAAATTTTCGCATTTTCGCGAAATTTTTCTTCGTATTCGCTTCATTTATTTTCGCGAAAAAATACGAAATGCGACCGAAAATTTTCGCATTTTTTCGCGAAACGTTTTGTTCGCTTGTAACCTTTGAAATGAGTGTACTTTTTGCGTTTAAGTTTTGGCTTAAATGCCAGATTGATTCCAATATTAAATATATAGATTCTGTTAATTCATATTTTACAAAAGACAAACAGCATAAAATGCAGTTTCATTGAACAACCTTTTTTTCAATACAAAATGCCAATTTCCCATAACTTTGGATGTTATAGATACTTTCTCAATAAATCAGCGTGTTCTTGTTAGGGTTCCCAACGCAAGTAGATTTTAATTGCGAGCCCTGTAAACTCCGCGCAATTCGCACAATTCCACGAAATTCCCCATAATTCCGCGCATTTCTGCACAATGCTGCGCAATTCGAGAACAGTTGCGTGCAATTCCACGCAACGGAATTTCTATTGGATATAAATATTGAATATTGATCCATATTTGCCAGAATGGATTATCATAATAGAACTGTAACTTTAAAAAAAGAACGGAAAATACCGTTGACGAACAGATCGATCAGTTCTTAGCTAAGAACGAACGACAACCTGAAAAGTCTGAACGTGACCAGCCCTACATAATACATATACACTTTGATCAAGTATTATTGCAACAAAGTTTGGCTTCAGAAATGGATGAAAAATCAATAAATACATTAATTCTTTTACAATTTTATTCAGTATAAAACAGAACGTTTACAAAAAAAGGCTAAACATCAACTTCATGAACCAAATGTTCGATGTGCCCACCATCAACAACTAGCTTGCCATATTGAAAGATGGTGAATGTGCTGATCTTGAGAAAAAGGATAATTTGAGACTCTGGAACTAATGATTGTTTACCTAAATCAATTTGTTCTATAGAATTTGCGGATTTTTAAATAAATTTTAGTCAAACTTTGCTACAGTATAATAATTTTAAACTATTCTCTTTTTAAGTTGTACGTCGGGTAAAGCTAAAGAGAAGTGTTTCAATTTAATCTAAGTAGTTCGAATACTTGTCCTTTACATCAAATCTAGCCTTCAGACCATTTTCTAAAGAAAGTATAGGGTTCAGCCCCTTGTTTTTTAGTTTTTATTAAAAAAATCTTTTTTTTATGAAAAAATATATATTTCTTTTCTTAATTAATTATCTGTAACTAATTATCTGCTGGTTTCAGAGACACTTGTCTGGTGTTGTATCTAGGAAGAATGTTTTATAAATGGAAACCTGATTCTTCAGATATATTTCTCAGTCTTATCTTTATACAATGTAAGTATAAAGCTTCTCATGTATATTCAGTCCAGGCTTACCAACCTCGACGGGTCATTTTTAGACTGGGAGCTAGGGGGGGGGGGATGCCCACCCTTTTATATTTTTGTACCTACTACTCACATTTAAGTTGAAACTGTCGACTGTTGAAAACCGAGAAACATTAAAATGTTGAGGGACAAAATGTTTTTAATTAAATCTAGCAAATGCATTTTCCTGAAATCAAATCTTGAATCTTGCTTGCATCAAAATATGGAAATGCAGAATTTCTCAAAATAAAAACACTGAATTTAAAATCTAATTAAGCAGTGGTAAATTAAAAAAAAAATCTATTTAAATTTGAACTTTTACTTTGACTTGTTTAAAAGTCATGAGAAATCGTCATTAATTTCGATGTTTAAGTATATAATTTCATATTTATTTTCTTATCTAGTAAGAATTTTCAATATTTTGAACAAGATTAGATTTATTTTCAAATATTGTCAAATTGATTTTGAAAAGATTTTGCTTTTATAATACTATGATATCCTGTATTCTTTGGCTAAAGAAAAAAGAAAAAAGAAATTCTCGTTTTGTCAGTATTGAACGTTACATTGATTCGTTTCTGCAATACATCTTGCATTAGCGTTAATGTCAATCGATTAAAATTAAACCAATTGTTTGGCGTAAAAAAACTACATGTTGAATACTAAAATTTAAAATTTATAAATTTTTCATACCTTTGTGATTTTTTTTGAAAATCGAAAACCCATGAATTTTTCGAAACGAAACAAATACTACTTCACACCCCCCTTATTCGGGGCCACTCAAAATACAGTATATCAAATATACGAAAATTTATTTGTAGATGTTGGCATGAGTGGAGGATGGGCCTCTAATCTACAAAGAACCCATTACTACAACCATGAGAGCTCTCCTGGACCAGGACCCGACCAGGTGGACTACCATCTAGCACAGAGGACTAGAACACCAGGACTACCACACTCCAGGACTACTAATCAACCACCCATACTGTACACTGACTCAAGGTATGGTAAAAGAAGTGAATATCATCGAGCTTAAGGTAGATTAAAGGGAGTGACTACCAAATGATTCAAGGTAAGGTAAAGGGAGTGACTACCAAGTGATTCAAAGTAAGGTAAAGAGAGCGACTACCAAGTGATTCAAGGTTAGGTAAAGGGAGCGACTACCAAATGATTCAAAGTAAGGTAAAGAGAGCGACTACCAAATGATTCAAGGTAAGGTAAAGGGAGTGGCTACCAAGTGATTCAAGGTAAGGTAAAGGGAGTAACTACCAAGTGATTCAAGGTAAGGTAAAGGGAGTGATTAGCAAGTGATGCATGGTAAGGTAAAGGGAGTGATTACCAATTGACTCAATGTAAGGCTGAGTTCTTGACTACCAAATTATTCAATGTAAGGTAAAGGGAGTGACTACCAACTGCTTTAAGATATAGAAGATAGGGAGTGTCTACTTACTATTTCAAGGTACAGGGTGTCCCAATAAACATGGGAATTAAGAGACAGCTTGAAAATTGTCTTCGATTTCTGATAGTTGATACATGACAAAGAGTGTTTCAAAATAAACACTGAACGTTTTATGAGCATTTGAATTTCTGGTCATGGAGTAAGTATGGAGTAAGGATAGAGTAAGGATGAAGTAAGGATGGAGAGTAAGGACAGAGTAAGGATGGAGTAATTATGGAGTATGGATGGAGTAAGGATAGAGTAATCATGGAGTAAGTATGGAGTAAGGATAGAGTAATCATGGAGTAAGGGTGGAGTAAGAATGGAGTAAGGATGACGTAAGGATGGAGAGCAAGGACAGAGTAAGGATGGAGTAATTATGGAGTATGGATGGAGTAAGGATGAAGTAAGGATTGAGTAAGGATGGAGAGTAAGGACAGAGTAAGGATGGAGTAAGTATGGAGTAAGGATGAAGTAAGGATTGAGTAAGGATGGAGAGTAAGGATGGGAGTAAGGATGGAGTAAGGATCGAGTATAAGTATGGAATATGGATGGAGTAAGAATGAAGTAAGGATTTTGTAAGGATGGAGTAAGGATGGAAAGTAAGAATAGATTAAGAATAGAGTAAGAATGAAGTAAGGATGGAAAGTAAGAATGTAGTAAGAATAGACTAAGAATAGAGTAAGAATAGAGTAAGAATAGAGTAAGGATGTAGTAAGGATGGAGAAAGGATGGAGTAAGAATGGAGTAAGGATGTAGTAAGGACGGAGTAAGGATGGGGTAAGAATGGAAAGTAAGGACAGAGTAAGAATGTAGTAAGAATGGAGTGAGTATGGATGAAAGGAGAAAGTATGGAAAGTAAGGATGGAGTAAGGATGGAGTAAGAATGGAAAGTAAAGATAGAGTAAGAATGTAATAAGAAGGATGGAGTGAGTATGGATGAAAGGAGAAAGTATGATGATTAAACCTGAGAGGGAACTATTTTCTTTTATCTTCCTTCTTATCTCTATAAACCACATTTATTAGAAAAACGGTTAACGCTCATCCGACCTAAGCGTTTTCTAACCCGAAGGGTTTTTTACCATAAAATTTCATTATATAGGTCGGTTTCCTGCAGGTCAATTTCCATGACAGTATTTTTTTAGAATAATCTGTTCAAGAATGTATGCTTATTTTGTAGTGTAACTGTACAGCTACATAAAGAATGGAAAATGCATTAAGTTCAATTTGAATCAAGTTGACAAAAATCTGGAATAATTCACGTTTTAAACTTCCACAAATGTGAAATTTCCCAAACGTACTTTTAAGGGATTTAAGGTTAAGTTAGGCCATGCTGCGCGGCGGCTAGGATGAGGTGGGGGGAAGTGGGGGGGCAATCATGCAGCTAAAACAGACTTGGGAAGTTCCCGCTCAGTAAATTGAATATTTGGGAGGTTGCCACTTAAAAAATTCGATTGAGTAGTTACCGCTTGGGAAAATGCCTTTAAGAAAGTACCCAACATCTTTTCTACACTGTCAACCTCCTGTTTAATCTACGTACGTTCAGATACAGGGTTACCCCACATAAGATGAGACTGAATGACGACCTTAATTTCTTTAAACATGACGATTCGAAGGTTGAACTGGTTGTTGTGATTTGACAAGATTACTTAATTGCCCAAAAGGGAGACAACATTACAGCTGTAGGAACCCATGTAATGTACGATTAAATTCTGTAGTCTCTGCAAGTCTCATCCTTTGAGGATCTATGAATAAAAAACCATATAAATACTTGCTTTCAAGAGTTTTAAATGAATTACATCAAAGTACTGCTTGCATCAATAGGCTGCAGAGATCCTGTCCCATTCTGGAGAATCTTGTCTAACTAGAAAACCTCAAATACAAATTTACCTCGTATAAGTTCTTAGAAAGATATTCTTTAAACAGTTTAATGCAAAACTTGGGAGACATCGAAAGAATTTAAAAATGTTGTCTTGTCAATTTTTCACTGTGGTTTGCCGCTCTGAATAATATAACAAGGATATTATACCTAAATCTGACCAATAGTATATATACATGAATACCAATGAAATATGCGGGAACAGTTTTAACGAGCTCTATATAATTATTTAATAAAAAAACTAAATATCTGCTGTAATCCGTAGGTTTAGAAACCGACATTTTAAACTGCAGAAGAAACTTTTGCAAAAGAGATAAAATTAAAAATCAAATAAAAGTCCCGATTCAACATGCCTGGAATTAGTTCCGAATTTACGGGATGCAAGATACAAGAGTTAACCTTTTGTGCATTGATTGATAAAAAAAAGGATATTAATGAAATTATAATGTTATGCATAATGCATTGATTAAAATGACATAAAACTTTTTAAAACAAAATTATAAGCAATTTAAAAGTCCTTTCGTTTAAACTATGTAAAACTTAAAAGTTTTACATTCGAAATATGTTGCGGAGACGAAATTGCTCTAAAAATAGGTTGATGGACAGGGTAGGATGTAGCTGGAATTATATTTGTTTAACAAATCATTTACACACATTCTCTCTTCTCCCTCTCAAGTATATCTCAAAAACTTGATGCAATTTTAGGAATATTATTGTTTATAGTTTCATGATTACTGAACAGGTAGATACACTCACAAAATCCTACGATAGGCTGGGTTCGGTTTAGCTTGTACTGATGCATAAAGCCCTGGTTTGATTTCAGGGCAAAAAATAGTAAATCATAATTCACAAAATAAACATACATAAGTTTAAATTAAATGATAAATTGAAAAATTGATACATCATTAAATTGACAATTCTTGTTTTGGGGCATAATCACCCATCAACCAAACCAGACAGTAGAAATACCAAAATATGTACAGGTTCGATTCTAAGCACTTTCACAGGCAAAATTATAAAGGAGTAAAAAGCCAAAAATTGAAGAAGAGAAAAACTTAAAATGCTTAAAAGGTAAAAAAGTAGAATGTAAACAAGGATTTTGGAATATCAGGAAAAAAGCTTTAAAACCAAGGATATGTTTAAAAAAGGATATATAAAAACTATTGGGATTTACATTTTCATTTTTTTGAACCAGATATAATTGGTGCAGATAAAAGTGTAATGAAAAGTTTTTATGAAACAATAAAATATCTTAAATCATCATTTTTTTGTTTGCTAAATGTCATTTGTCATATAAAAAGTCGGCAATACATTATAATATTTCTTTCTGATTTTATTCTATGGAATCCCAAACAATAAGAATCCCAAACTATAAGAATCCAAAACGAATGTCAACCAACGATTGGAAGAATTGGAATTAGGATGAGGATTAGGAAGTTGGAATGGGTTAGATAGGGGCAATTGGGAGTAGATAAAAAAGGGTGGGAATTGGAATGGATATCAACTAAATTTGAAGTTGGGATTGGGATTCAACGAATGTTTAGGATGATAAAAAGGGTTGTAAATTGGGAGATGAAGTAATTTGGAAGATTAAGTTATGAATAGAAGTTTAGAAAAAAAGATGCAGATAGAATTAAATACGCGTACATAAAACTATAAGAGAATAAGTGGTTTAGTCAGGGAGTAAGGAATAGAAGGGAGATACAACTGACGCGGTTCTCCCTACCATATGATTATACAGGCTTTGCAGACGGTACTTCATTTGTATAAGAAATATTATCTGATGTACATTTACTGCGTATACAATAACCTATTCTGAACATTTCATATACAAATGAAGTACTCGTCTGCAAAGCATGTATAATCATATGGTAGGGCGAACCGCGTTAGTTATATCTCCCTTCTATTCCTTACTCCCTGGGTTTAGTGGATAAAAATGATAAATATGGATGAAGACGACATTTTGGAAGGAATAAGTGGATTATTGTTAGGTTAGAATAAGAGAGAGAAAAGAGTATAAAATAATCATTAGAATCATTCAATAACCCCCGACAAATATTTAAAATGCATCATGAGATTTTTTCAAATCGTTGATGGTAAACCTCATCGTGGCCTTATCGTACATTATCCATTCCTTAGTGCACGGTACAGTAAGCACTCAGTATGCAAGTTACCCAGGGGGGATGATAGATATCTATCTGTTTGCTTAGTTAGCTGTACTGTACACTTACAACTGTTTACAAATATTGATATACCATAGGTTAGGCCAGAATCTCCTTATAATAAACAAATATGCAGTATGCTCTCGGTATAGTTTATGTCCTACAAAATTAGTAAAGGATTTGTTTATATCATCACTCTATACACGTTATAACCTCGTTGAAGTTACCCAATGTTTAATTCCTTAATTTCCATTAAAACTACGGGCGAACTTCTTTGATCTAAACCTAGTAATGTCATTTAGTACTGACGATAGAAATTACACAATACACGGGGTTTTCCAGTTTAACACTACGACCAGCTGTTGTTTAGGTTGAATGTGACCGGTCAGCTAGGAGAGACGGTCAAGTTTACCTGTAAAATACTGCACGGACTGGGCTCTATGTATGTATCCTGGACGAAATTTACAGAAACCAGTTCTGATCCTGTAGCGTTATCATATAATAATCAGGTAATTCCGTTCTCTCTGTCTAGTTTTTTTTTACATTTTATTATGTTGTTTTGTATACATAATACATCATACGTTTCAAAACTATCTTTATCTGCTTATGTCAAATTCTTTTACTTATTTGCATACACTTATCATATTGGATGCAATTTGTACAACATCTTTGCAATGTACTTTTTTCAATCTGTCAGACATGTACAGGAAGTAAATAATGGATACGAATCATTAAATATAAATATATATATATATACACACACAACCCCTGTGAGAATATATATAGATAAAAAGGATTGAGAATACTGCAGTAGAGATAGAGACGCATCAATATCATCCATGATATTTTTGCAAAAAAATATATCCTAAAACTAAAAACACAAAAATTAATAATGATAATCTCATTTAATACACAATTATAAATGTTAGTTTTCTGAATTATGCGCTACAAATCGTGAGAAGAAATTCTATCGTTCTATTAGATCTATCGGAAATAGATAGATTTATCAATGAATATATCAATTTGATACGCATGGAGAAAAAAAACACAAAGTTATATTAGATTGATATTTTTTTTTAGAAACAACCCTAAATTGTAATTTTTGCACTATAAGATCCATTCTTAACCTTGGTATTTTAAAAAGTTTTTTTGACGAAAACAATATTTTAACAGATATATTTTTCTTTAATAAAAATCTTCTTCTCACAGTCGGTGAATTTAGCCAAGAATAAAAAATTTGATTATTTACAGAGAAATCTATTTTAAATTATTTTTTATAATAATAAAAAAAAAAATATAAATGTAAAATGACATATTGGCAGCCTTCTATAGTTAAAAGTCAAAAATTAAGTTTTTGCAAAAAAGAAAACGGTTTTAAAAAGTGGTGTTAACAACGAAGTCACCATTTATTTTAGATTTTTATTTGGACTTTCTGTAGAGAATTGAGATGGAAGAAGAATTATAGAATTAGGTTTGAAGTTTGAACATTTGTAAACTATGTTGAGTGTACATCATCTAATCCACTCTAAGCTTATCTAGATCCATTCAAGGTCCAGTCTTTGATTTCTTAATCCTTTAAACTTTAATCCATTTATTCAGGAACCCCTCCCTTCTCACTCTGTACTGGAAGTAGGTTAACCAGTAGATCGGTTGAATAATAGATCTGTTTGACAATATATCGGTTAGACTATTGATCGGTTGAACCACGATTAAATTAACAATAGATAAGTTGAAGAATATATCGGTTTAACTGTAGATCGGTTTAACTGTAGATCGGTTGTCCGTAGATCGGTTGAACCATAGATCAGTTGAACCATAGATCGGTTGAACCATAGATCGGTTGAACCTTAGATTATTATGTGTTTTAAAGTTTCTAATTCTTGAAGATAAAACTATGTTTAATAAATCTGGCCACGTTAGGGCATAAAATATGGATAAACTAAAATATTGCAATTATTACATTATGTTGGATAAAGACATGAGAATGATGTCAAACTTTATTTGGGTAAAACTTAAATCTCTTCTGCTTCCGCATACCTCTGCCTATCATTTTCCCCCATGGAACCCAGAACCACCCGGAAAAATCCTATGGTTTTCACTATATTTAACAAAAAGATGAAAGGTCTGTAAACTCTACACCAGGAAGATTAATGCGCGTAATAAAGATGAACATGTCTAAGGACCAGGAACTCGGAATCGTCTTCTACACCAGGAAGATTAATGCGCGTAATAAAGATGAACATTTTTAAGGAAAAGGAACTCGGAATCGTCTTCTACACCAGGAAGATTAATGCGCGTAATAAAGATGAACATTTTTAAGGACAAGGAACTCGGAATCGTCTTCTAAACCAGGAAGATTAATGCGCGTAATAAAGATGAACATTTTTAAGGACCAGGAACTCGGAAATTTTAATTCAATTGAAACAAATTTTTTCGATTTACAAAAATATTCAATATTTCATTTATGCCCTTACGTGGCCCGATTCTTAAAAAATTGTTTTATCTTGGAGGATTAGACACTTAAAAAAAATGATAATGGAAGGACGAGGATTTAAATGTGGCTCGGACGAGAAAATGAAGATAATGTGGCTCGGACTAGAAATTGTGCCTTCCTCCCCTCGTTGAACAGTGCTAGGTTGATCAGTAAATCGGTCGAACCGTAGATCAGATGAACAGTAGATTTGTTGAACATAAGCTCGGTTGAACAGTAGATAGGTTGAACAGTAGATTTGTTGAACATAGGCTCGGTTGAACAGTAGATAGGTTGAACAGTAGATTTGTTGAACATAAGCTCGGTAGAAGAGTAGATAGGTTGAACAGTAGATAGGTTGAATATTAAATCAGATTCAGCACATACGTATATTTCAATATATACAATTTTATTTTGCTGGGAAAAGTTCCCGTTTTAGATGTAAATAATGTACATTTATTTTATTGTGTATTCTTGTGTATATTTTATAACAGCAATATTATATATTGTATTGTACACAATAGAAATGAATATTTAGCATGTGACACATATATGTATACACCATACACCATACAGGGATTCCCATAAAGGATTAGACATTAAAGAAGTCTAAAATCTAATTTAAATTTAATGTTTTTATGGTTTGATTTTTTAATATGCCTCATATTGCTTGAATGATATTAAAAATGAATTTGCAAAAACAAGTTTACAAAAACGTTAAAAAAATTAACTAGTTCCGCACAGTCGGGATTGAATTCTCATCCAATTTGGGCAACTCTATATAAATGTACATATACATATGTACGTAGATGTATAATGTCGATTTTGAATAATTAAGTTAGCGGGGTTGAGAACTGAAAAACAAAGCTGTACACATAGCTATCCGTTGTTTAAATCAAGTTTAGATTGTTAGTTATTAAATGAAAAGTTTAGATTGGATGATTTTGTTTCATGTTGTGCAGTGATATTCAATTAACATAGGAAACAAATGCTGATTAAACCTATATATAAATATATTTGGCTAGTCTGTTTTTATCGTATAAAAGGCTGAACTGATCAGGCTAAATTTGTTTATTGTAACATTGACCTTGCACATAACGGTTATTTTAAAAATTTGAAAATCCACAACTTAAAACAGAAAATTCGGCGAATTTTTTATAAATATATTATTTTTAAAATGTTAACTGACATGGTTGAATAAACTAGTAATAGACTGAATTCCATTTGAATCTTTTCGCAAACTCTGATTTGCTAACTCGTAAATCTTTGCCACCCCAATGTTGTAGATATTTCAAACTATGAATTCTATTAAATCAAAAAATCTAAACCAGCTTTGATATTTCAAAATATATATTGCATTTGATCTAATTTAAGTTTGAAATATCAAAGGTCAACATCATCAGGTTGCAAAAATTTAAGGAATAAAATTTTGAGCTTGTGGCAAAACTTCAGTTCCTTGTCCATATGCTAAACACTGAGAAAACGATCCAATGCAATGCAATGTACAATGTTACATTTACTACGAAAAAAAAATTATTGCAATACATCCAATTTACATTGAAACATTTTTCATCCACTTTTTTTATTAATATCTTTTCATGTCTGCTTTACTGAGCTGGTTGTGAGAACTAATTTATCCTTATTAGATATTAATTATTCATTCTAAAATATTGGCCTGTCGTGACATCGCACCTGAATTCCAATACAGAAAGTTCAAACATTAACATTAGAATGCTTAACATGACATTGTAATGCAAATATTTGTCTTTAAACAAATTATTTTTTTCCCTTATTCAAAAATATTCACTTCAACATTAGGGCATGCAAGGGATATAATGAAAGGAAAGTTGATTGCGGTCGTAAATACTCTACGTACATATTGAAACCAGTTCTCTTTGGGCGGAATTTGAACAAGAATGAAGAGATGCATCAGTTTTCGTTTAGTATCCGAGGAGGTTAAAAACATAAAATTTGATAATTTTGATAATTCACATAATAGTTTCCTATGACCAGAATATTTCATTGATTTTTTTATGTGAAAGATGGATCCCATGTCAGGCTGTAACATCCGTCTTGTCTTTACTTTTCCGCCCAGAGACAGTACACTGCAGTACAAAAGATGCGTACACCACTGAGATAACTTTCCTTGCATTACATCCTCATATGTATGTTCTAAACAAAAGTTTCCCAGAAAAATTTTTAACCCCATATTTTTAATCATTCTTAATTCAAAAATTAAGAATATGTGCCTGTAGTATTTTATATTTCCAATATTTACTGTAGAGTTCTGAATAAGTAGGTTAGTGTGGTAACATGTCGCTTGGCAGTATGGAGTAGAAATAATCAGAATAGAAAACGGTAGGATGATATCACAGTATAGAGTTACTAATACAGTCCTCAAGGAAATACTTTTCTATCGAACAAAGTTTACAAAGCTGAGAATAAAAAATATTCCCCGCTGGCCAAATATCACAGTTTAAACAAATGCTATCTTATTGAAAACTGTTCGCTAGTGATTGGTTAAAATAAGTTGCATCAAATTCATTATTACTAGGCTTTTAGTTTTCTATTTGCACAGTATAAAACAAAACAAAAAAAGTTTGCGGATTTCATAATATTTTTTCGCATGTTTTTAAAATTTTACAAAAATAAAAAACTTTTAAACGCAAATTTTTTAAATTTTGATCATTTATAAACCTTCTTTGGGGTCACGTGAGGTTCTACACAAAATTTGGGCCCGATCGGTTCAGCCAGACAAAGGAATTGAGTCTTTGCCACAAACTCTGATTTTCTAATCCTTATATCTCTGCAACCCAATGTCGGAGACCTTAGATATTTCAAACTAGACATTCTGTCAGATCAAATAATCTAAGTTTGAAATATCAAAGGTTTACAACATCAGGTTGCTTAGATAAAGGGATTGGAACATCGGAGTTTGTTGAAAGACTCAATTCCTTTATATATAAATCAAACTTTGATAGAGTCTAATTTAAAAAATTACGAATGAAAAATCAGAATGAAAGGAATAATTGATAGGTT